CATGTTTACAAAATCAACACAATAATCCCATATTTAAAATATTCCTGAAAGCCAGCGGATGTGTAAACACATAAATTTGGTTAATTTTTGAAATTCAAGTCACAGGCATTCAAAATATAATAAAATATTACTTTGAGGTCAGTTTAGTCTAAAACTGAAGCAATTTTGAAGTAATTTTGATGCACTGCAAAGCAAGAAAGTTTGGGATACATTTCTTAGATCAATATAAGCCATGTTTTATTTCTAGTCTTATTTCTTTAAAAGCAGTTAGAAGAGAATACTGGGTGAGAGCGACTCCTGATTAAACCTCATGTGGCAATTTCCACCTGTACTGTATCCTTCCTACTGATCTTTCCCTTCAAAATACAGACACTACCACACCATCAGCACTTGTGCAGTCCACACAACAAAAATATTCACCTGCACATTCATCTGATCCTCATAACTTTTGAGCCTATTAGCCAGACTCAAACAAATTTTATGAAAATTAGAAATATTTCATTAAAATTTGTTAAACATGTGGCTGGACAGAAACAGGGGAAGACCATCAATAGCCTTCCACTGAACAGCAGAAAATCCACGTATAAGGACGATAAGGGTCTGCAGATAAATTTTGAGGACAAATAGAAAATAATAATGGATTTCTGTATCTGAATTAAATTGTCCCTGCTCTAGTTTAAAAGCTTCTGTTTCTTTACAGGATATCTTAATCCCATGCTTGCACCGTGAGGTTGCCTTGAGGTAGTGGTAAGCAGGACCCCTCCTCTTAAAAATCATGCTGCAGAGCACTTAAAATTCCAGAACAATATAGTGACAAATACATTAAAATACATTATTAACTTTCAAATCTTTTCAAATGCAAGATTCAGCTATATCATACTTCAGCTACTCTACAGCTTTTCTTCAGCTATATCATACTTCAGCTACTCTGCCTCTACAGCTTTTTCCTGTAATATCAGTATCTAAATATTTCTATCAACTTTTATATAGGCCTTCTACGGGTATTTTTAAAGGCAAGATGGTTTGTGTCTTAATTTAGGACACCTACAAATACCACTGTAAACATTTTCCACGCCAGGAAACAGGGGCTTCTTTAGGGCTTGTGAGCCTTTGCAATCTGGAGCTATAGGCCATTTTCACAGTGCTTCAAGTCCTTTCTAATATTGGATTAATGCCAAGGACAGACAACACTGTAGCAGACGTTTCACATTTCAAAGCTTATCTCTTTTTTCCTCTTAAACACAGATTTTGCAGTATTAGCACAGCCTTGACCTAAAACACAACTTTCAACAAAACCTGAGTGGTGATTTTGTACTCTTCAGTTTCTCTACACTACAGATTATTGGAAATTTTAAAAATAAACCAACAAAATACTAACAACACTTACTTCTGACAAAGCTGGCTGAACAGCACTTTGGGAGAAAGAGGACCTTTTCCAGCCTCCTTCATGCTGTGAAGGAACAGGAACATGGCTGAAGTCAAGGGTCCTGGGCTGGATAGGTTTACCATCAAAGGGTCCTTCAAAGGAAAAGGAAACTGAACATCAGATTCCATAATGAGTAACATGTAGGACTTATTTCAGGTTGGCACATTTATACTCAGGAACAACACAGCTTTTAGTCTTACAGTTGTTCTTTTTTTTTTTAATTGTGTTGTTACATTATGATTGAAACAGTCAAGGAAAAAGCTTATTATTTAAAAAATAATAGCTACAAAATCAAGCAATGCTTGATGAGCAAATTGATTGATAGTCCAGAAACTTTGGAAGCAGGAATGTCAATAATTAATGAAATAAAGTAAAATATAATAAAACTTCTGGTAACAAACAGGGATGACTTCTTCAACACAGTTCTCAGTGTATTCCTGGCTAACATTTAGAAGGCTCAAATATTCTCTCTTGCTATGTAAATGGTATTTACAAGCTGGATTTACAATGCTGACATGGTGCTGCTGGGTACCCCAGAACACTAGGCGCTGCCTGCCCAGTAGCTCAATAAACTGCTCACTCTTCCCATCAAGAGCCTGAGCTCCCCAAGTCCAGAGCTCAGGCTGGAAGCCATGCCAAAAGAGCAAATAAAAATAAATAAAATAATAAAAAGCACATCTCTTGGTTTGTTTTTGCCCATAATATTCATGCAGTTTTGCTAGACGTGCATTTTCTAGTTTTTCGGTTTGCCTCACCTCTGTGTGCTATCTAAAACTACCGAGGCCAGGCAATCAAGATTTCAGGAGAAGTTTAAAATCCATCTAAACACAGTAGAGCCCAGACAGAAGATCATCTGGTAGCAGGATATTTATTACAAAATTTCCTCTAGAAAGCAGCGGGGAGAGCTGTTCCCCAGCAGGGGCCTGCAGGCCCAGCGCCTGGGCAGGGTGTGTGGGGAGGAAGCACCTCTGGCCTGCGGCAGTTCCCTGGTTGCCTCCAGCAGCTCCAGTGGGTCCCAGCTCTGCCAGGATCCGGCTTGGGGTCACCCAAGACAGTGCCAGAGTGGGAGACCCTCTAGGCCCCTTTGACACCACACGAGCCTCGAGGGTTGCGCTGGGGTCAGCTCGAGGTTTGGTGCCGCTCGGTCCACATGCGGCCACAGGGCTCCTCACTGTCACCAGGGGGTCTGATTCTCATGAGAACAGACTGCAACTTCTCCAGGAAGTATGAGAGAAGATGCCTCTTTATAACACATGCTTCCCCCTCAGAAAAAAAAAGGATTAGCACTATGGATCCTCACAAAACCTCCCAGAGAGGCTGCGGAGTCTCCCTCTCTGGAGATCTTCAAAGCCCGCTGGGACATGGTCCCACGCCACATGCTCTAGGTAACCCTGCGTATGCAGGGTGGTAGGACTAGATGATCTCTAGAGGTCCCTTCCAACCTTAATGATTCTATGAAATATTACACTGTTAAAATTGAAAAATACTATTTACCAAGCAGGAGGCTAAACTCTCCTACATTACCATTACTCAGACCCATGGAGGTCCCACTGTGCTAACACGCAAGCATCAGAAAATACAGTCTTTGCTCCAGAGATTTTATTTACACTCTAAGCACTCACATTAAATTAAAAAAAAAAAAAGGGAAGAAGAAAAAAAAAATCTTTCAACCTTATGGCTGTGCAAGGTTCACATCAAGCATGAACCAACATACCACTGTCTTTCCAAGCCTCCGGGCACAGGCTCCAGCTCTCAGTTGCGGCTCAGGAATAACCGACTGCAATGCTGCTGCTCAGAGCTGCTATTAGAGGTAACGTGGGTAACAGTGCAGGGAATTTCACACTGCTCTGGCCTGGGGAGGCTACAAATGTTCCCAGCGGCAGCCAGCAGAACCCTCTGTCATTGCCGAGGTACCCAAAGCAGATTCCTACCCCACCAACCCTCAGTGCCACCAGAAAGCTCCGGGCAGACAGTGGAAAAAGAAAAAGGAAATTTAAAAAAGTGAGTAAGAAAACCTATGCAAACCGTTTTCATTAGCTGGCACATGGAAAAGGGCATTATCAATTTGCAACATAAAAACCTAAGTCTAAGAAATGACCAGGAACAGCAGCATATTCTATAATCTAGAGTCTTCATAGTCTATAAAGACTATAATCACGGTCTCCTTTTCCCACATGCCTCCAATGAACTGAAGACAAGAAATTTGGTCTTCACTGGAATTTTGCTTCTCTACATTTAATCCTCTGGCTATGAAACTGGTAATATATTTTACAAATCTTACCAAAGAAGGTAAGAAGGTAATCTGAGATAGACTGGAATAAAGTATTTCACGAACACTTTATACAGCCAAATATACTATTTTCTGTATTATATATGCCCATTAAAGAAAAGAAATAGGAAACAAATACAAGCAGGCCAGTTTAAAGGTCAAGTGATATTTGCTACTTTAACACCACAGAATTTCAAAGGAGGCAACTGTTCCTTCTTCAGGGCTGAAAATAGTTTCGTAAATGAAGTGAGTTCACAGATATCAACCTGGCTAAAAAAATTAAAGTCAAAAAGAAAACAGAGAGTAGGAGCAAGTCTTGCAAAGAAATGAGCTTTTCTGTGCTCCAGCTTCTTCCCACATTCCCCAAATTTCTCACTGCATACTTACCAATTGGGAGTCTGAAGTTTGACAGATTTTTAGCTTTGTTCCCTTTTCCTTCATCTCATACATCAGTTCATTTAGTATGTGAGTCTGTGCCAAGTTCTTAAAGGAAAAAATAAACAAGAAACACTAATCTTTCAATGATACTGTTTTCTTCAGTTATAAACTCTAACTTCAGAAACAGGCAATAGATTTAATAAACATACCACTGAGGTTTAAATCAGACCATCAGAAAACCCAGGTCTCACCCGCACAGGAGGTACCACCGATCTCAGAATGTTTCCCAAACCGCACCTATACTTCTCAAAATTTCATAGCAACTACGTTGTTATTTCTGTTAAACAACAGCACTCTTTAATTTTAAGGGTTTTTTTTTTTTCCCCTTCTAGAAGTGAGGAAACCACCAATGAGAAAGCATTTGTTTCTTTTGAACTCTGAAGTCTCCCTTCGTGCCCCAGGAAGAAGCACACAGGTTTTGGAACATAAGTAAGCATTATGCAACTGAATATATGAGAACCAACTCAAGGTTTTATTCTTTTTTTTTTTCTTTTTTTTTTTCTTTTTGGTAAGCGTCGATTACAAATGACTTAGGTCTCAGCGTATATACGGTATTCCAGTTCTCACCACCTTTGTAGCAGTTTTATGTCATTTGCTCACTTCTGCCTGCAGACACACAGAGGTCTCTGCTCAACTAAGAGGCAATAGGATATTCCAGTCTAAAACCCATTTCCACTGGGTTGTTATTGGTTCGAGTATGCTGGATTAGTTATACCCTCAACATCAATAAAAGCATATCAGTATAGCTCATGCTGCTCAGAAAGAAAAAATAAATAAAACATCATCAATAAAAGTACTTTTATACCTGCATCCATTGTAGGACTTAATCAACACAACTCACTGTGCAGACGCTGGTGCTTCATAATTTAAATTATGCATAAAGTACCACTTTGACACCCACCAGTATGGTAAATGTAGTGTATTACTCATGACTGCCTAATGAGGAACTACAAATAAAACCATACACTGGAATACAACCCACACACACATGCAATATACAACACACTTGACATTTTCATTTGTCTCCTTACTTTGAAAAATGCTACCGATCCGGGAATTCTTTTTTGTTATATCAGAAAATACTGCTCAGATGGGAGGGAGTGAAAAAGATTTGAAAAAGACCTTCAGAAGGTAGCATGAAAATTCATAACCTTTTATGAACACCCCATTTCCTATAGATGAAGTATATCTGAAAGCTATCAAGAGAAAGCTGTATACTATCTTTCTATCTTACCTGCATAACAGCATTAAAGAAGCACGTATTTCCTAAATTATTTATTCCTTTAATTGGAACTGATGCACTGTTACCAGAACCTTTTCCTCTCAGTATTTCACTTGTTTCGGTATTTTCTTCACGGAGTCGGATAATTTTTGATGAACCTATAATTAAACCATGGATTAGCATTATAGTATAACTTTGTAGTCTAAACGATTCCATGCTTAAGTAGATTAGGGTTACCTTCTAACATGTACTGAAAGATACCTTGTCGCTACTTCAAGTTGCTCTTTACAGTCTTTAAAAAAACGAGAAATGTCAACAGCTAAACCCTTGGAAAACGTCTCCATCCAACATATATCCAACATTCTACAACAATTGAGCTATTTCAGTTATTACAAATGACAAACAAATAAAAATGGGTTTATTAACAAGAGGTGCTTTAAATGTTTGCTCGCTATACAATGCAGAAATACCACACAGTGGCTATCACTCTCCTTCCCGGTGCATTTAAAAGCAGGTAGCCAGAATTCACCACCTGAACACAGAAGTTATTTATCAGTTACTGTACTTGGCTTATATTGGCTTGTGCAACTCGCTCAACAGCTGCATCTGAGTTGTTTTCCCCCCACCAACCTTCCTTTGTCACTGCCCGAGGAGCTGCTAACACAACCCAGATACACACAATGCTGTTTGGTTTCTAAAAACAAAAATTTCATAAAATTGCAATAATATATGCTACCAGTACAGCATCAATGCACTTTCCTATTTGCCTTATTATTTAAATAGATGAGAGACAGCAAAGTTAGACAGTCATTAACTTGTAGCCTAAAGGTAATGGAAAAATGGAGATAACAATATTTAGCCTGAAATTCTACTAGCAACTTTCATATTGTCATGGTTGCGGACTAAATATGAACATTACTGACATCTGCAGTGTCTTAAATATTGATTAACAATGCACATCAATGTAAACGAGTTATGGACTTAATAGATGCCAAGAACTGTGATGCTGCAATCTATGTCTTGACATATGAATTCACGTATTTGTTCTAATGAGTTTCACAGTGAAGTCTCATTAAAGTGTTCCTGAGAAATAACTAACAGACCTATTTACGATAATGAAATGCTCATGCCAAAAGGTTCTTTTATGTACACTGCTAGATACTTTTTTGCTTAGAAGATGAAAAAAAGATACAATCAAATAAAAATAACCCATTAAAATATCCATTGCACCTCTCATGTAGTTTGTCTGCAGTATATATCACTTGAGGAATTTTCTTTTTCCTTATTTTTCTGAGTTTGTCAAAATGCAGATAGAGATAACTTTGCTGTTTAAAAGCATCTTAAAACATTCTTAGCAAAACTGCTTACACAGCATTAAAATACCCTCCATTCCACTGGTGTGGAAGACAGTAAAAGGACAAAGCAAGAGGCCAAATCCTCCGTGAAAAAGCATACAAAGCAGTTTTGAACCCAGTAGATGACAAACAGTAAATGGTGGGAGCTGCCTGCACCCCAAAGGGGCTCCCGTCTTGGAGGTCTGGGTGGCACTGGCGCCTTCACAGGGTGCCGGGAACTGCCCCGTCCACGCAGAGCTCCCGACAACCATCAGCACAAGAAGGTGCTGCAAATACCCACAGCTCAAGGGCACTGCTCAGGCTCAGAAAGTTAATAATATTACTGGAGTCTTCGAACTGAGAGAGGGGTGCCGTACACAGAAGCGCTGGGGGAAAGAGATGGTTAAAAAAAAAAAAAAGCCAAAATTGTGTAAATAATTTGCGTATTAGTAAACCACAGTTGTTGCATTTATCCATCGGCATTCAAAAACATCTGGGACAGCATCTTAAAGTAAACAATGTTCACAAGGCCATCTGGACAAAACTGCAGGCAAAAATTAAAGCATAAGCATATGGAAAAGCAGATTTTTCTCTTCCCTGTAGCAGTACAGGATGACAAATGTCAAACCTAGATCTGTCCACGCTTCACTGTGCTATGCTTTGCAGCACCACCTGGCTCTCCTTGCACAGCCACCAAATATGGACAGCCCTGCCACAGCGGACCGTATCTGCAGGGCAGGCGCGATAAAAGCCTTTCACTTCATGGTTAAATGGCAGCTTCACACAAGTAGCGAGCTCCCGTTTGCCGAACCTTGCACAGAAATCATTCCAGGGGGTGGAAAACAAAGTAAAAGCACCCAGCTTTGTGGCAGGAGCTCTGTGAACATGTAGTTACAAAATGCAGTAAATGACAACCAGACATCTGATTTCACAAAGCCGGGTAAGATGTACAGAGATAAGGAAAGGCAGCAGTAAATTAACGAGTCTGCTGCTGACATCCAGGAATCTCCTTTTACTCGTAAAGATTTTAATTAATGTTTCTTACTGTTTCGTACTTTTCGCCAAAGGTTACAAACATATTTCCTGGGACATTGTACTGGTTTGTTTGTTTGTTTTGTTTTTCTGTGAAAAATATTTGCTAGAAAAATGTTGTTTCGCTATCACAAGCAGGCTGCTGACATCCAGGAATCTCCTTTTACTCGTAAAGATTTTAATTAATGTTTCTTACTGTTTCGTACTTTTCGCCAAAGGTTACAAACACATTTCCTGGGACATTGTACTAGTTTGTTTGTTTGTTTTGTTTTTCCTGTGAAAAATATTTGCTAGAAAAACGTTGTTTTGCTATCACAAGCACTATCTGGTATCTATCTTCTTCCAGGCAAAGGATTTCAAGGACATACACACAGCCATAGGATGAACAGCAGTTCTTAATTTAACTCTGGAAAGTCCCCAGTCAGCGATAAATGACAGACAGGCCTAAAGCTGGATGTGTTTAGTTGACATGTGAAGAGTTGGTCAGTCTTAATAGGAGATGCTGGTAATGACTGGGGTAGCTAATACTTCCACAGATTGTGGCTGCAGGGTCTTTCAACAAGATAACCCAAGATTACGAGCACGTTTTAATCCAAGAGTAATATGCAATTTTTTTAAAGTGAATTTGCCTGGAACTGTTTCTTACACTCTTCCCAGCTAAATCTTGTAATTCTCCTACATTTTAATAGCAGTGTTTTTAGAAAGGTGACTTCTAAGCCAGTATATTTAGAAGTGGCTGCAGGGTCTTTCAACAAGATAACCCAAGATTAGGAGCACGTTTTAATCCAAGAGTAATATGCAACTTTTTTAAGTGAATTTGCCTGGAACTGTTTCTTACACTCTTGCCAGCTAAATCTTGTAATTCTCCCACATTTTAATAGCAGTGCTTTTAGAAAGGCGACTTCTAAGCCAGTATATTTAGAAGAAAGACTATCACAAAAGGGTTCTTATCAAAATGGTTTTATTTATTGGGCCTAACCACTCCTGACCAAATAGTGTTCCGAGAAAAGAAACAGTGGAAAAAGACACCCAGGTGGTACTACCTACTAAAAAGGAACTCTTGTAGATACTCACACAGAACAGGGAGGCGAAAAAGATGCAAGTAATTAAAACTACATACCCATTTCTGCCCGTAGCTCACTATTGCATCTCCCAGAGACTTAACATGATTTCCCCTCAACTTCTCTGCTCTTCTCGAGCAGGGTGAATGTCAGCCCCCATGCCCCCTCTAACCTGGGCAGGGGCAGATGACAAACTTTGGCCGTTTGACCATCTCCTGCACCTGCTGATTCCCCGATAACCACCCTTGGGCTCACACCCAGCCTAGCACTTGGGAGGGCTTCCTGCCACCACTCTTGTCCCCTCATCCTTCCCACCACATCCCCAGGAAGGACGCGGGCAGCTGGGGGCTGCTGCTGAGCTACCACTCTTACCTAGGAAGGCAGCCAAGGGCAGCTGCGCCATCGCCTACTCGTGCCCATCTGCTCTCTCCTCTGCAAGCTCTGCGGAGGCAGGAGCGGCTCTTCGGCCCACACCTGCACAGCGCCAGCCCAACAGGGTCCTTCCTCACTGGCACTTCTGAGCACCGTGCTACTATAAAGAGCTATCCAGTTTAGCAATTAGAACAAACCTAGGGATTAAAAAAATAGCATTGACAGGTCCTCCTGTATAAGATGCACAGAAAATGTACCACATTTTCTGTATCAACTTATTTTGACAGTAATTCAAATATTTGCAGTGTACACACACTTCTACACCTCTCCTGCTGGAACTGAAACGTAGCCAGGGGTGCAGATGGAATGCAAGCAAAAGTACAAATGACATTCAATTTTTCTTTTACCTGGGGGAGTAAGCATTTTTGCTTATCTTTTCAATACTTTTTATAATAATTAGTATTAAAAAGGAAGGTTCCAGGATATGCACTTTTATTTCAAGGTCAAGCCTTTTCTGATGAATACAACTCTGGTGCTTCAGCCGAAGGTCATCACAGTAAAAGCAAGGTTAATGGACTTCCTTTCTCTTACCAAGTTCTCATCACTCTGTATCATGAAATAGGCTACCAAATTATCTGGCACATTTTTTTTTATTTTTAAAATAAGTTTTTTCAATGTTGGACAATAATGCAAACCTAACCCTTAGAAAAAATAGCACTGTTCACTTGTTAAATGGCCACTATTTTTTTAATCATTTTTATAGTTATTTTATGTGTTGTTTTAAGATTAATTTCTCCTGCCATGTTACGATCCTACCAAATATAAAGACTACAAATTCCAGTTTTATTTCTGCGGTCTCACCTGAATGCTATAAACTAAAAAATCATGTCCACTCACCAGGAAAGAACAAGGTATTCAATCAACAGATTTTATCACCCACGTTCAAACGATCTGTGCTACTCCTCACAAGTCAATCGGTGTGTGGACAGCAAAGGGAAGACTCTGCAGATGAAAATCTCAAAATATGAAGAAAAGAAAAAGAATCCACTCGTGTACTTTTCACTTCTTTGCAACATGTAATAATTGATACTTGAAGGAAAATTTATGGCTCACAAGAGAAACATCTTTTTGCCAAAGCATATCTCCTGTTTGGATAGTCAACATATTTGCTAGGTAATTATATCTCACAGAATCACGGAATGGTTAAGGTTGGAAGGACCTCTAGTCCAACCATCTAGTCCAATATTTCTAGCTACAGATAGATACAATGGACTCATATAACTCCAGCCTTCAAATTGCATGTTGTGAAAGTCAATTACAAAAGAACAACATTACTTTTTTCAGGAAACATTATTTGTCAATTGCTAATATTCATGGCCAAATGTAAATTGGAAAACTCTTCATACAATTTGCTGTGGCAAACAAATTAATAAAGTTTACTTGTAAAATTATTTTATTCTAATCTTAGTTTTACAGCAGCTGTACCCATTAAAACAGAAATCAAGTTTCTAAGCTTGACCTATTGGCAAAATCAAGACTGAACTTAATAAGCTGAACTTATTAAAAAAAAATAATTATTTCTCTATTTGACCTTCCCAACAATAAATCTGACTACAAAATTTGAGAACAAATATTCTTCCTTTCCATTCTATGCTCACACAAACAAATTTAATCAACTGGTCTACAGAGAAATTCAGACTGTGAAGATGCTTCACAGATCTCTAATTTCCCTTTGATAGAGGAAAAACGCCTAAGGTTCATCTTGAAGGCTGCGGAACAACTTCTTTTCTGCAGCAAAGCAGCAGCCAGCCAGCGAGCCAGCCAGGTCTCAGCGTGGTTGCCGTGTCCTACATGTGCGTGACGTCCCTGTGAAGCTCACAAGTGGCCACACGGACAATGCTGCACCTGCCTTCCTGGGAAAAGCCGCGTGGCCCGCGACCCTTCCCCACAACGCTGATTTCTGGGTGGCACACCCCAGAAAGCAATCCTGCTTTATTCTTCCATCTTGTGCCCAACATGACCTCTTAACCAAACAGACTCCTTTAAAGGGAAAAGGGAGGGGAAAAAGAAAAAAAAAAAAAAAAGCAGGCATTGCTGGGTACAACAAACCATAGGATCAGATGCGAAAATCACACAGCTGCAAGCATTCTTTTGGGAACCCAGCACTGGGATTTATCTCAATCGCTTAATGTAATTACAAAAGTCAGTCATGTAGCAGTAATGTAATTTGCACATTTTTACAGCTGAAGTGAAGTCGAATCTTTATGAGAGGCTGAGTGAAAAACAGGGATCCTGCTGCCACGCTATTCCACCACATTAGTACCAAATGACAAGCGTTTTGCTTTTGTTTATTTTCCAGGATGCATTAACTAGGAAATCTATATACACCCTCCCCTACACGTTTAAACTAATTTGCTTCATCTTTAAATGACTCCTTCACTTAAAAGGACCAGGAAAAAAAAATCCCTAACCGTCCTCATCCACCACTTATGCCCATGTTGCATTTGTGCAAAAATTTCTACACAATACTCTTTGAATTTTATGAAGCACCGTGCCAACCAGTTCTTCCTGATACGAAGTTTTGTTACAGTGACATGTTCTGACAGGAAAATAAAGTAACATAGTCTTCACTTTGTCTGCTTTTTGAATTGAAAGAACAAGTAAACCAGCGGGAAGCCCTCAAATCACTTCAAAGAAATGAAAAATAAGCTGTAAGAAACAAGTATTGTAAAACTGCCCATGAAATTTCATGTTTCCCTACTTACCAGTAAAAATAAACTCTTCTGATTTTAACTATTGCAATAAAAATTATTGATAGTCTAGTAAATATACAAAATAAAAAAGATAATAATTTAAAGAATGACATTTACAGTGAAACTATCACTGTAATGATAGTGAAAATATCACTACAACCTGAAACAGACACCTACGCCTTTAAAAAAAAAAGTACATTAATGAGAACAGAGTTCATTTTCACTGTTACACCTTGTCTTCTTTGTTTTCTGGACAACAGTATAAATTACAGTTGGATCTCAGATTTTATTAAAAAGAAAATCTTTAAAGGTGGCTTAACTTAAAGAAAATCTCATCTAAGTTACATTTCTGTAATGGAATCACTCATGTTTCAGTATTCAGGAAAAAAAAAAAGGACAAGAAATACAGAAAGGGCACTGCTGTTAAATTAATCAAATTGAACAAATAATGATGGTTTGGAATTTTCCTCTTAGACATATGAGCTATTTACCACTATATCAGCATTTCTTAGCTTCGTCCAGCAAGTAGCCTGGACTGATGCATCAGCTTGTGCCAGGCAAGCAGCTTTTTCCTCCTTTCCTTTCCACGGCAGAAAGCCCAGCAAACAATCTTTGTGCCAATATTCCCAGAGCTCTCCACAATTTCACCCTAATTGCTTACCATAGTCAGAAGTTGGGGCAGGTAGAGGGGGTTGCAGACCTCTAAGTTTAAAACATCGGTGGACGTGCACACATGTGCTTGCTTTAGCAGGGATACCCAGTGTAGACACGAGCTGGCACGGAGCTGGGAACGCCGCGGCCTTCACGGAGCAGCTCCGCGAGCTCAGGCCTCTCACCGCCGAGGTGGTCGCTTTGCAAAGCCTGAGTGCGGACTGCTCACCTTGGAGCAAGTAACCAGCAGAAGTCAGTGTGGCTAAACACGCTCCAGAACAGGATAACGTGTAACTCTGCAGCCAGACTGCCCCCAACACACCGGCTCTCAGCTCTCTAAGCTGCCACCAATGGGCACTGCTGCGCGAAAGACCTGGTCTTATCCACCCAGTGCTGCTGGCAGCTCCCTCCTACCCTCCACCTCCTCCCGCACGGAGCGTCAACGTCCCCCAGGGGAATCACAGCTGGGAACTGCTGCAGACCAGACCTAACCCAGCGAGAATCCCACCCCAGCACCCCACAGACCCAGCTAAGGGCCAGGCCAGCACCAGGAGGCTGCAAGGGAACGAGCGGAGCAGCAGGCAGCACCTTCTGCTCTGAAGCGGCGCTGGCTCAAAAGGCTCAGGGAAACAGCACCGTAGAACACACTGGAAAAACATCCCCACCACTGGACGTATCACGCTGTGAATGCCTACACTTGGAAAAACTGCAGGATTTCTGAGTAAGTGTGAAATACTCAACCCAGCTCTGTCACAAAACAGCAAACTTCAGAGCAAAACTGGGTGACAGCCACCACTTCATCTTAATACCCGGTTAAAGAAACTGAAAGTTTCCCCTGGAAAAGGGAAACTGCTTTAAATCAAACAGAAAAAATTGAAAACAACAAAAATCAACAGAAAAGTACATTTCTCAGATATTTACGTGAAATACGTCAGAACACCGAAAGAGAATACAGACTACCCAAATTAAATGTAACTGCCTATATAACGGGTATATGTTCTGACAAATTCTACTATAAACACATGATTTTTCAGCAACACTGTGTCTAATTCAAGCATACTTTTTGAAGCTGTTTTTTGTTCTTGGAATTATGGATGTCTAGTTTAAGACATTTCACAGAAAAGTCCTGAACGCCAAACTCAGAAAACTTCAGAAAATGAAAAATGGAGGAAAAAGAAAAGCATACAACAGAATCACTTCACACCCAGAAGTTCAAACACACAATTTTTTTGAACAATTGAAACTGTTTCCTTTAAATTAAATGAAACAAATACTACAGCATTTGTCTCTGCAAACAAGCTAACTTATTAGTGCATGAAACCTGAAACTGAAGCTGTGAATACAAATGAAATCATGTATTTTACTTACACTGGGCCAAGTGAGAAGAACACAAAAAGGTAGTAGTTTGCCAATTTATTGTAATTAAATACTTTATTACTTATGATTAGATGAAAACGTAGAGTATAAATTTTTGAGTGACACCTATCTTTTTTGTTTCTCAAAAGGTATAAAATATCACAGAACCACAGAATGATGGCATCAGACTTTACATCTCATATATATATCTCATATATCTCTTAAATCTCTTACCAGGATTTATGTATACCCAGCTAGAGGAATACACAGTGTAACAATTGCAGTTCAGCCCAGTAAGGAATAACTGTTTTAATTGCACCTCTAACTAGCAGAGACTATCAGTCTCTGCTAAAAACTGTAATCGAGTTTTACTTTTTACGTAAGGGTTTTTGTTTGTTTGTTTGTTTGCACGTGTGTGTGTGGACAATCTAAAATCTGATGTATTCCTTGAGTCACAAGCCTGAAATGCTGCAATAGGGATGAGTAACATCAGCAGTATAATCAAGAGAACACAGTTGAAGGCCATGTGTACAAAGTTCTCTATACTATACATGCACAGTGAAATATAGCAGGATTCTAAACTAAAAGAAGAATTTAGCATGTTTTTAATCAAAAGAAAGGATCATTCTATCAATTAAAACCCAAAGAAACTGACAAACACAGAGCACTGTATCCAATGATAGAGTACTACAAGTTCCACTTACACAAACTTAAATTTACAACTAATAATTTTTTAACTAAACTTTACTAAATTTACGTTAATGTTTAATGTGTTTCAAAATCTGAGAGGTGCTTTTTTAGACACATTACATTACAGAGGCCTCCAGACAAAAGAGCAGACTTACTTGGTTCAGCCTTGGAACCATGTTTTTGAAGAAAGTCAACTATCTGAGCCAAAACCTTTTTGTTGCAATGTGTTGACAGCTCTTCATCACATTCATAACACCTAAACAAAAGAAGGAATAAAATTAAATTCTGGAAGGCATTATTTAAGCTCTAGGTTTCAACTTTCCACACTAAAAAGGAGAATATCATTAAATTCCTTCATCCCTTACACAGTTTTCTGCCTATCAGTCTTTATTCACTTCAACACTTACAGATTTCAGTAATCTCAATTTAGAACTCTGGAAATACTCGAAAAAAAGAAGGAAGGTCAACAAATCCTATAACCACCCAATTCTTACAGACCACAAGGAACCCATGAATTGCTCTCTTAGGCCGTTTAATCTTTTTTTCATGGCAATTGATGGCCACCGCAAAAAAGTAATTCAGTCTGCAAGTCAGGACATTTTGTCTACATCAGAATTACTGAAATAATAGAGATAGGTAGGTGGTCTGATCGATAATCACTTAACGTGGACAACAATTACAGAGATGATTACAATATGTCTCACTAAGAATGAGGAAACAAGCGAGAATCCCACTCTGTTTGGCTTGTCTTCTCCAAGAGAAAAGGAAGCTATTTTCCTTATTTTGCTCTCCAGAAAGCCTCCCTTTCCTCTTTGTAGACCTAGCTAAATACTCATTTTATCTGTCAGAATTATTCCTTAACAAGACACTGCTTTAAGTTAGAAGCAGTCCTGAGACATAAGCATACATAACAAAATTTATACAAAAACCCTCATACCCCATCTTACCATATGATCCATGTGCTGAGACTGATAACAATGCAGTGAGGTTCTGTGCGTGCTGTTTGGAAATGCTTTAGAGAATGCTGGCCTTCTGAGTTCTTACTACATCCCTAGAAGTGGAAATAGTAACACAGTAAGAAAAGAGTAAGGAAAGTAGGAAAATAGTATACAGTTTTGTAGTAAAGAAACACTACAAAAAATCCTTAAAAATAGACAGAAATCTATAGTATTCTGAATACTCTTAGCTGTAACAGCTGCTCTCAGTCAAACCTAGCAATAAAGTTTGCACAGTGCAAGCTTATTCAGCAATACACACATTCCTTTATTTACTCATCTGTATCTGCAGGACTTTCTGCCAGATCAGCCAGCTAACCTGGTGTATTCTGCAACTGTTCAGCTCCTGGAGCTCTCTTTATATAAGCAGCAAGAACCTGAATTGGAGAACAGCAAAATTATGGGGCTACCCCTCGCTACCTGCGACGCCGAAGTGCACCTTGGCACGTAAACCTAATTGAAAACACTGACTAAAACAGTCATCAGGAAAAGAAAATCACAAGCAAGTACTGAAAGCAGTGAGGTTCCAAGCAGATAGGATCTGCACTAGTCGCGTTTTCTAGCAAAACGAGACCTATCACCCATAAGCTCACGGCGCGGGCCGCAGCTCGCTCACGTTACCTGAGAGCCGCACTTGAGGCACAGCCACACGTCCGAAGGTGCCACGGGCTCCCCGTCACTCATGCGCCGCTCCTTCAGGCACTCCGAACATATCGACCACACGTTCTGAGCCACCGCCCTCTTCACATGATGCACATCCACCGCTTGGCTCACGTGCTGGCAGGTTAAGCCTTGAGAAAATGGCACGTACCCACTTTTAGAAATTAAAAATGATAGTTTTGAAAGACAGCACGCATATGCTGGGAGAGCTGAATCTTCAGCAGGTTCAGCATTAGGAAAAAAACAACAGAGAAATCAGATAGCAAAACTGGCCAACAGCTCCTCCATATATTGAATTTTATGAGGAATATGGCCTGGTCTTTCTACAATGAGAATTACACCCAAGTTGATAAGCACCACCTCTTAAAATCAGTTTTAAAAAGCTAAGGACTACTTTGTATAAAATTCACTTCCCTGTTTTTTGTCAACAGTGAAATATTATGCAAAGCTATTTTGCATTCATCAACACAGACAGGTGACATCCCCTGTTATCCTTAAAGGAGGATTTCCAGATGCATCAATTACCCACCCATTTCTACTACACAACTGCCCACCATTCCTTCTTGTCAATTTTTTGCACTGTCTCCAATGAAATACCACAGGATAATCCAGGTTTGAAGGGGTCTCTGGAGGGCATCTGGTGCGAAGCCTCACGCAAAGCGGAGCCAACTGAAAACTTGATTAGATTGCTACACGTTTTGTTCAGCTGAATTTTGAGTATCTCCAAGGATGGAAGCTTTACCATCACATTAGAAAATCTGTTTTCTGTCTGACAATGCTTATGGAGAAAAAAATAATTTGCTTCATCAAATCTAATCAAATTTATCTTGCCGAAAGGTCTGTTGCCTCTGATTCTTTCACTATAGACCTTCAAAAAGCTTCTAGCTCTATCTTTTCTGTAACAACCCACAAGGATTTAAAGAAACTTTATTTTCTCTCTCTTCTCTAGGCTAAATAAACCCATTTCCATCAGCCTCTCCTTATATGCTGTATTTCCCAACCCCTTAATCACCCAGTGGGTCAGCCTACCGCTGCGCTCACCTTGGTGTGTCCACGTATTTCTTCTACTAGGGTGCCATTGGACACAGAACTCCACGGGAAGTCTTACAAGTGTCAAAAAGGTATGAAGAATCACTTTCATTTCCTTGTCAGCTACACTCTTCCTATTACGATCCACTAGGAAAAAGCCACCAGGATTCCCTGAAGCTTTTCAGTAAAACTGCTTCCAAGTCATCATTTCCCAGGCTGGACGTGGTTATTTTGGCCCAGGCAGAAGACTCTCTGCTTGCCTCTCCACAGGCTCTCTACAGAGTTTCTGTCAGCCTGGTTCTTGCAGACAGTCCAGGTCACCCTGAATGGCAGACGTACCCACCAAGATACTCATTACTCTTCCCAATTTGTTGATAATAAAGTGACAGTGTGGCCCCACAGAGACATCAACCAGCTCTCTCAGCACCCTCAGATGCATCCCATCCGATCCCACAGATGTGCATTATGTTCCATTTGCCTCAAGTTTTCTAACTCTTCCTCTCTGGATAATGCTTAAATCCCCTCAAGTCTGCCACTGGGCCAGGGACTTGGGAGGACTGAGAGCAGAGCTCATGTGAACACAGAGGCACCAAGTTCCTTAGCCTTTTCCATGTCCCTTATCACCAGGTGCCACCTCTCAAGCAGTGTGCTCACAGTTTCATCAGTCTTCATTTAGTTGTCAGAGTATCCACACAAAAGCATTCTTTTTTTCCTGCTCTTCATATCCCTCATTAGATTTCACTCCAGCTGAGGTTGCCTTACCCAAACCCAACCGTGCACACTGAGGAGCGCCAAGGGCAGCCCAACCCTTCCACCCTTGCAGGTTCTCTGCTCCTCGTTTGACAAAGCTGCCTTCTGCCATGGCCTGTTGGACTTCCTGCACTTGTTCTTGGGCTTTGGAGAGGTTGTCACTGAACACGGACTGCCCTCAGGGCAGGCATGTAGTGTAACAACTGATCATGTCATAAACATTTCATTGAAGATACTTTTGTTATGAATTCAAACAGGAAAAGCATTTCACTTTGGCACTGCGTTGTGGTTTTCACCAGTCAACAGGAAAGTTATCCCTCAACCTCAGGCCCAACATCACTTAATGTGTTTACCTGCAATATCATCTGAAGAGTCTTCATCCTGTGGCCTATTAGGCCTTTTGTTTCTCTTGGTTTTCTCAGAGTTAGCTTTTGATGGATCTTTCACCCGCATCTGTTACTAGGAAAGAGAAATAGGAACTGTTTTATTGCCTAAATACTTGATCAAATTTAGAGAGTTTAAATCCTGAAAGCCTGAGACTAAATCAAAGATTCAAAACTTATAATTCATAAACACTTTTAGGTTTTGGTAAATGAAGTGTAAGAACATGTTAGAAAACATACTCAAAGATCAACTATATTACATGAAGTTCCAAGAACTTTATCAAACTAGAAGGTTCTCTTTCTTAACGTACTTTCCAAAAGAAACAAGGTGTATGTCACCATTAACCTGTGTGCATTCCCCAAAAGCTTTTAAGAAATTTCAGATAGTTTAATAAAATACAGAAGCCTTCCAGACCTCCTGAAATTGGGAAACTAAGAAAAGGAAGGATATCTCAATTTTCAATGAGGAGGGACTGCATTGTGAGTTGATGATCCACACAGATGAACTCTCTCATAGAAAAATTAGTTCATTAATCAAGGAGTTCTGTGAGGAATGGAAGAATACATTTTTCTCACCAAACTTTTTCTAAAATCCTCCAGAGATTTCAACACGCTGGTTGTTTAACCAAAAATCCAACTGTGAATTCATCAAATTAGCACAGCCATGCATCATACCAACAGCTTCCATAAATCAGATTACAAGTTGCCCTTTTGACAACACGCTTCATAAAATCAAGAAGTGGTGTATGATTTGATATAAAACCACATGTATGTGAGTCTTTGAGTATGTTACAGACTGCAAACTTGTGAATCATTATTTCCATTTAGAAAATAAATGCCTTCTTCCTGTGGTATCATCTGCAGCTTACTAATGTCACCTGATCCACTAATATTGAAGTATTTTTAACTGTACTACTATAGATTATGTATATGATACTACTGAAATGCTCTACATTTGGTAACGCTAATAAATACAATGCCTGTGTAGATCAACCAGGTTAAAGCTGAACAATTTGTCCATTTAGATTTTTAATTCTTCTGTGCATTTGTAACTACAGTTCCGAACCCGAGAGGCCGAGACCCCGGAAGCTGCTCGAACTGCTGTGTAGGCAGAGCTCAGTATTCCATCTCCTTCCCCATCCGCTGTGGGGGTCACTGAAAAAGTCTGCAGACGCGGTACAGAAGCCCCATCGCTGGTGTCTGCAGAGACCTCACGGAAGCCAAGCGGGCAATTCATTCCTCAGAGCTACTGTTATGGACACGGTACAAAATCAGGCGGACATCTCTGCATCTGTCGCACTCGCTGCTGGCGACGGGGCTTCCCGTATGGCCACGGCAATAACGATCTTACTTGGGGAAAACAGTCGTGCACAGTATGGAGCATTCTTGCAGTGCTGGCTTCAAGCCTCCTCAACCTTCCTGAGTACTTTTTTTCTGTAAAATGCTACGATTACCCAGCAATCAGTTTGCACTATATTAAATACCATAATGTTCTTCAATTACATATACTTAGGAATCTAAAGCTTCTAACACTTAGACATAGGTAAGGAATGCCATGGAAGTCAGGTTTGCTGATTCTGCAGCTTTGCAGAACTAAAACCTTGTTGGCTAACCTACAGCTTTGACTAGACAACAAACTTCTGCCTTGCTTTACATGCATAATGATAAGTCCCAATACGTTATTCTCTTATCCCACATACATGACAGCAATTAATCCTCTTTATTCACTTCATAATTTACTTGTAAGGTCTACTTAGACATTCAATTCCAAGCAAGCCTAGTGAAATCAGTTGTTGAATAGCTGAACTCCATGCTGAATAGTTCAAATTACAATAATGCAATGGCTTTAGGTAAAAAACTCTGCTGTTAGAAATCAGTCAAAGTCATCACCACGATGTTTTACTTCAAGATACATTTCACCCACATTCATTTCTATTTCCACCAGCTTTTGAACTCTTTTACAAAAGACTTTTACAAAAGACTGAGTTACCAAACCGAGTTTGCTGGATTTAAAAACATATGCTCCGTAAAATACAATAAAATATATTTTTTAAAAAAATATGCATCATCTATACAATTTAAAAGATGAAGCAGTGAATAAATTAAATAAAATAATTTTATGTTTTACTGCAGCAATCATTGGCTGGAGTATTTTTTAATGTTAGGCATCAAAGTGTACACAACAGGCCAAATGGATAGAAGGGGGCAGGTACAGCAAGCACCAAGCCTGCAGCGAAATTCATGTTCAAGCAACAAGACATGACTCTTCCAGCTCTTGAGTATTTATATTTATTCACATTTAAATCCCTAATGTGCTTCAGCAGCTGTGCATTATAGCAGCCCTCGTAAAAGGAAAAGGTGCTTCAGATCCAAAGGCTTTTAAGGGGGCTTATTTCTGCCTGGTCATCTTATAATTTACATATAAGCTACTGTGAAACTACCTATCATCAGTTGCTGCACAACTGAGCAGTGATTGTTTTCCAGGCAAGTAAGTTATGCTTTAAACAAGATCCGAAGAGCACTCAGTTTACCTGGCTTGAAAAGTGTATCATTCCCAGGAGTCTTGCTTGTACATCCCTCAGCAGCACTTAGCATTGCAAACTACCAGCACCCACTGGCCAGTGCATGGAAGGCAAAGACATTGGCCAAGCAGGCTGACTGATACAGCCACTATTAGGAAACTGGTGATATTACACCAAGTGACACAGTCAACAGCAAAGACAGAAAGAAAACCAACCTCCCTAGAGGAATGTAGTTTTGCTTAGGTTACGCGACATGGACACAAATGACCATGCAAGTTCATTTCTGCGTAAAAAGTTCTATCTGTTTGGACGGATTATGTAAGACTGTCCAAGCCACGTGACTTTCATTTGAATGTGTGTTTTATCTGTTTGCTTTAGGATCTCAGACAACTTTAGGAAACAACAACTACGCACCATTATCAGGCCAGCTGAAATGCAAACAAACCTGTTCCACTTCTGAAATCATGGGGACAGGAGGCAACTTCATACTGCCTGGAACAGGACAGCAGTAACCTACCCCTAGAAACCACACTGCACAGCCCTCCTTTAAGACACGTGGAAAGGGTGTATTGTCAGTTAGTGCCTGGAATGCCTGGAGATGTGACATTTCTATCCCAAAATAATCGAGGCATTAAAAATGAAAACTGACATGGTACCCAAGGACTCACACTGCAGATTTGGGAATCCACTGACAAAAGCAGAGGTTTTTCAGTCATCTTTTAGTAAGAGTGGGCCAAACAAAGCATAACGTGCCATGACATTAAAGAGCTCTCATGAGCACCCCTGTGGGGAAGCACACAAGCCTTCCCGACTCGCGAGCTCCTCGAAAAGCCACACGGTGTCCAGGACCCAGCCAGGGTCTGTGCTTGCTTCTGAACAGCACGCAGAAGGGCAAGAGCAAGGGAGCTGCCTAGGAAGTACACGAAATGCAAGGTGGCTACTACGCAGGCAGCGCTGTTTGTCTTTTTCCAGCACACCTGAGGGCAGAAAATATTACAAGTAAAAAGATCTGACGATCAAACAGAACTTCAGATATCAAAATGCTTACACTAGAAATCTGCTTATTGCATTCAATTGAGATAAAGGAGTAAGAAAAGTAAAGCAGTTCAGAAATTAATTCTAAGAAATGTTTGTATAAAAACACATTTTTATTGTAACGGAAGGTCTGAAGAAATGTAGGGCCAAAAAAGCATAAAACACAGTTAAGGAAAAAAAAAAATCAAGAGGAAACCCTCTAATATGTCCACTGACCGTGGGGTCCATTCAGGACAAGAGAGCAGAGGATAAATGATCAACTGGCACAGAATTAGCTCAGTTCTCTGGAGATTAAAAGCCATGACAATTTTCCCATGATTTGGTTCTTTCTACCCCACTCCTCTTTTCTGAATACATTCACTGATTCTGTTTTAAACTATGGCCATCAGTAGTCAGGTATCCTAACGGAGACATCTTATGATGATATTCTCTGAAAGCACGAGCAGAATGAAATCTCAGCGAAATCTTGATTTGAAGTTTCTTTTTGTAATGGAAAACAAATACGGAAAGCTTTAATTTCTTATCCGCAAAATAAAATCACAGTGCTCACGATATTTGATTAATAAATCAGACAATAACAAAAATGAAAAAGATTATTTGCAATAGAAAAAGCAGAGTTCAGATAGAATGTTCCCTCACCTTTTTATCTCTTCAGCATACAGCAAAAATTCCAAGTGAAAATTGTGCAGCTTCTTGGGGGAAAAAAGTGAAAACAGGAAGAGTTCAATCACACCTTTTTAAACACATGCAAATCTGGAAACCGGTCCTTGTCCAAATGGTTCAGATTTGTGAACTTAGCATACAAGAGTTTTAAGTATAATAATCCCTGCTTGCTACTCTTGGTGTACTTTTTGCACTCACCAAGAACCCTAATGGCACCAAAAACCAGTAAGATCCAAAGTTTCTTACCACAACTGCTCATTTCCGCCTTTCCAGAAAAATCAAAATGCTTCAGAAGCAGCAGAACAATCTGGTACCCGTTCTAATTTTGTTAAAGTTAAATCTAAGGTATATCTTGACTATTTTACGTGCAAGGTATACCTAAAATAGCCTCTGTTTAATACAATAAAGGAGCTACTCCATGAAATATATACAGAGAAACTAAAAGCTAGATTTCAGTTCTTAAAATACATTATTTTTAGGTGTTTCAGTCTACTAAAAATCAATAGAGTTAGGATCAATAAAAAGCAAATAGAAAATAAACTAGAACTCACTTTTCCTTAGGAGAAAAAGGCAAGAAGAGGTCATTCCTCTCACAGCATCTGTGCACAGCAGAGGCTTCCACTATCTAGACTCCTATTCCCACGGTGTCACCTTGCACTCATTACTCAGAGGCTGAATCCCTCCCTCCTACAAGGTCTTCACAGCTCACCTGCTAAATTCTGAAATACGCAACCTCACTGGTATTTCCCACACTGTGCCTTCACTAGGAGGTTTAGAAAAACAACCCACGTGATCAGTATGCTAGAGGAATAACCCGTCCTGCTGACTTTTACCATATCACTTCCACTTTATCTGTCAAGACCCACCTTTTCCCTCACCTTATAAGCAAGATGCCAGCTCTCTCAGGGAAGTGCCACGCTTCTTTCTTCATTGGCACAACACTTAGTTAATCATGAGGTGGGAAAATGTGATGCTGAGAGTATTACATTTGCATTGCTAGAATGCAAACAGCATGATAAAAAGGATGAGGCAATCGTCAGGTTACCTACACATTCCTGCCCTATGGAATATATACAAATGAGTGTACAGACAGAGCCTATGTAGTATTTTGCATATGGGTAACACAGTAGAATCAGTATTAACCATGACATCAGTACTGATAGTTAGTTCATCAGAAAACATCTGAATTCAGAGGAGCTGGGGCAAATACATTTACCCATCTGTTTCTCAGCTCATCCGGGGTACCCAAAGTCCAACCATTTGTAATCAAACTTTTAAATTAAAATACTCTGAGGTTTTGTTGCTGAAAGAAAACAAAAAATGCACTGCACTCAAAGTGCAGGGGCAGCACAAAGCAATTCCAAAAACTAGCACAGGGCTTCCCTATAACTTAAACAAATCGTTCAGCAGACTACCACCCAAGCAAGGGGCTGCTGAATGGAAAAGCCACATAAACGCAGTCAGAAGGTCAAGATGCTCCGCAGCACATTTGTGAACAAGTCTGCTGAATGGAAAAGCCACATAAACGCTGGTCAAGACGCTCCGCAGCACATTTGTGAACAAGCCTCACAAACTTCCTATGTGTGTGAAAGTACAAAAGGACAAGACCAGAACTAGTGAGTGATGCCAGATCTTCTGCGAGTGCTGCAGAATTTCTGCGTGTTTCAAAGCAAGCTGTAAGTGGATATATTTCGGCCAGCTGTTCCGAGCGTTACCTGTGGCATTTTGGCTGCCTCACAGCTAGATCAAATGTCATCCAACGAGAGCAGGAACCGCATCCGTCATGGCCAGCAACTGGGTAGCGCCATCAATCAGCGGCCGGGGCGCTCAGCGCTCTGACAGCCACCAAAACCTCCGCAGCACACGAGCCCTGGCTGCCTGCTAGAGCAGTGAAAGGACCAGAAGTCCTGACTGGTAGTGGCAGCAACACTTCTTCCCCTGGAAAACATCACTCGAGATTCTGGAAGTGTCATCTCCAAGTTTTCCTTGCCCCAAGGCACATCACACACATCCTGCTCCATTACTGGGGCTCACACGCCAAACCTGACATCATATCGTGGTCCCAGAAGGGCGACACACGGATGTACTTTCTGCACAGGGAGTGAAGCAGCTTTCTGAGTACCACTGAGTACAGCTTTCCAAGTGCCAGTAAAAATTCCATGGCATTTCTCACTTTCATTAAATGTTTAATCCATCTGTCCATGCTAAATATGGTCTGTCAGTTTTCTTGTTTGCATCCTACACAACCCTCCTCAGCTTTGCTACTGAAGCATGTTTACCACAGAAACCTTTAATGAAAGCAGAAACCCTGTGCGTCTAGAAACCAGAATAAAAGTCCCTATAACTGGTTTTATGACTAAAGTAAATAAAAGGATTGAGAGGACAAAAGCAGTAGTATTTTGATGTCACTATTTTTGTTAGTAACCTAGAGCAAGGGTTTTGCTACTGTCTCATAGAAAAAGCCAGGGAGACCTGTCAATATTCAACCTCATAAACCAAACATACGACGTTTGCTTATGCTCTCTATCCCATTTTAAATGCATCTTAAAAATATATATATACTAACACATGAAAAGGGAAAAACATCTGGAAGCATGTCTAACATATTCACAGATACTCTTAAACAGCAAAGCATATAAATAACACAAAAAGAGCTACGGCTTAAAGATGTTGGACTGCAAGCAATAAAAAGTCTAGATGAGGCTAGATGAGACCACAAGCAGCCCATGCAGTCAAGTGACATTAGCAATGATGTAAACAGTCCCAGCGCCAAGCAAAACTTGAGGGGGTGGCAAGTGAAACAGCTGGAGGACAAACACTGAACACATGGTGTCTTGGCAGCATAGCCACGGGACAAAATAGCGGGGAAAAAGCGTTTCAAGATGTCATAACTGAAAATTATGGGCAAAGGATGAGGGAAATACTTATTCTGTAAAGTCTGGGAGCAGAAGGAGAATGTAAAGTAACAACAATAGAAAGAAACTGTTGTTGGAGCACACCATGTGAGACAGTACATTGAAGCCCACACAGGACAACAAGCTAAGCTGATGGAACAAAGATTACAGCATTCAGCTTAACCTGCTGTACCACTGCCTAGGGACCGAGCCGGGGCACACCACTCCAAGACGGGAAGACAATGTCAGTGTTTAACTTTCCATCCACTTTATGATATACGACGTATAACTTTCCATCTACTTTGGAGGGGTGCTGCAGCTAGCTAATTAGTAGTGGTAAAACAACCTGAAACGTCAAGGACTATGAAAAACACGAAAGCGCTTTGAAAGGCAAAGTCTGGCTGCTGAGAGGGAAAAAAAATCAATTTTCTCCCTACATACAAACTGCCCCAGTTTGTTTTGATGACACATCTAAAGTAGAACAACTTGTCCTTGATCTACGTTTGATGTTACCAGCAAAACCCAGGAGACACTAGCTACGTATCTGTGAATCGCATGGAAATGAAACTACAGAAGAGCATTTCTTCAGCAGTTCCTGAAGCCTAACAAAATATTTACAACCGTAGTAAACGGCAAGGTAACTTTACAAAGCATCTTCTGTGACAGGTCTGGCACATGCTTGTGTCACTTGAAAAGCTAGAAACGGCTGTGGAATTAATCATTCCTTCAAACAAAAATCTGCATAATACACTTCTATGAAAAGGCTGCTTAAAGAAATTTGGGCATATTGGTAGCTAAAGAC